AGGGAGTCGCTGAGCTCTGTGCAACAAGAGCTTTTTCTTACTCAACTGTGAAACCATCGTGCCTTATGCAGTGCTGGGAATGGACTAGCTATGCATCGATGATCAGTTGAATAAATGGAGGAATGACCTGGTTGCCACACTCTGTTCTTAAAGGAGTTGAAAGTCCTCATGGACCATGTTGATTGGCTCTGGATCGAGCTGTGGGTACGGAGATCACTCCATTGGTATTGACGGGGAGGTCCTCCTTGGGCCCCCACTACCGTGTTAGGGACAGTGTTAGGGAAGAGAGTCTCCGGGTGCACTGCCTGCCCGTCTGCCAGTGGCTCATGTGAGGACAGCAGCAGTGAGATTAAGGATGGTGGAAGGCAGCCCATGGGTTACCCTGACTGACAGTTGTTTTTATATCTGGCTAATGTTAACTCTTGTTGTTAATAATTCCTGTGTGATACCATGTAGCAGGAAATAGATGTAACCTTAGGGAGACAAACATATGCACGGTGCAATTATTTTCCATATGTGTGTGTGTGAACTTCCAAATAAATTTATCATTAGCTGTCACTTGTTTACGTTCCATGAAAGGTGTTTCCTCCATGACCTAATTTGTCAAAACCATGTCTCAGTGTGCCTCAGGGAGGTCTCAGGCCACACAAGCCAAAAGGGGGACCAATGTTGTTTATGCTCTTATTCTTCAGGTTAAGATTGCAGCATTGAACTCATCAGGATGCTGTCTATTCATATTGATAATATTGTTAATGAAAATAAAAATGTTCCTATATGCTATGTTTTTCTTTTCATATGAGATTATTGCAATAACTGTGGAAGTGGAAAATTTTACGTAAGTCAGAAACGATCATTTCTGCCTCAGTTACAGTGTGAGAAATACAAACAACTAAAGTGTTCAGGCAGAAACTTTTTAATTTTCTGATTGATATATGCTATATTATGTTACTCACAGATACTAACAGTTCAAAAAGCTACTGAAAATTATTATACTTGTTTTCTTGGGTCTCTAAACTATTTTAATTGGCTTGTCAATGCTTTTCACAGTTTAGTGATTTCAAGAGTATATCTGCAGTTATGCCTGCTATTTGTTATTTTTGCAATATATGTTCTATTTTTACTTCCTAGGATAAGTAACAGGGCATGTATAAGGTCACAATTAAGTATGAAAGTAACCCACAGTTAGATCCTGAAATTTATGTTGTGACAAATCTTTCTAATTGTAAGCTTGGAAATGCCCACACAGGTTACATCTACGCGAGAAAATGCAAAGGTGTTTTCTTTGTCAAAATGCTTGTATATTTACTGAGTGCGTTTGCAAATGACCCCTGACATTCCAGTAAAAAGTGCCTCTATTTTGAGAGAGTTTTTGCAAAGTACACTTTTCTTTGGTATCATATAAATGACCCTTCTGAAGTAACATTGAGTCAAAAACATACCAAGTGAATTAAAATTATAAAATTACTACTTTCTCAGCAAAGTGCTGCATGAGTAACTTTAATTCTCTGAGTCTTTGGCAAGCATGTGACTGTGTTAAGTCAGTCATCAATCTTCCCGATGACTCAGTGCAGTTCTGACTTCCATGGGAGCCAGCGAGTGCCCTCTGGGAAGGCTGATATTCATTTACCCTTCCCCACACCTTCTCCTGGATGCCTTCCCTATGCCCTTTAGCAGGTTTGTTTTCTGGCAGTTTCCCGGAATGGGAACTGATGACAGTGGCCTCCATGCTCAAATCTCAGATTTGCGAGGGCCCCTTCCCCAGATGGCTCAGAGGAAGGACATCTGCCTTCCTCAGGCTTCTCTCTCCTTATAGCCCGATAACCCTTATGATACTTCACAGACACAGAAAAGACAATCCATTTTTTAGGAATTTTAATGAACTTTATGGTTGAGGAATTGAATACACCCAAGGAAACTGAGTCAAACCGCAACTCTAACCCAAAGTCCAGCTGACCTGATTTCAAAACTGAAATCTGAATGAAAGCTTTACTTTTATTTTATTATATTACCAAAAAAGACAATAATTTCTCCTCTCAAAAACCTTGACATAACATAGACAAAACCCTATGTATTTTTTAAGTACATGGAAACAAAGCAAAGACAGACATTTTTCTGGACCCAACCTGAGCCCATCATTTTTTTTTTTTTATTACTTTCTTGGATTTGAATCTAGCCAGTGAATCTGTCATCTTGTGACAAAGGACACAGATGGTGTGGATCCAATTCCCCACTTCAGCTTTCCTGTAGAGCTTCCCCTAAATGGGGAGTCTGTGTTGCCTCTGTATGTCTGTGTTCGTTTTCTGTTGCTGTATACCGGTTACCACAATTGCAGAAGCTTAGGCTACATGCAAACGTGCTTTCCCACAGTTCTGTTGTGCAGAAGTCTGGGCATGGTTGAGCTGGGTCCTGTGCTTACGCCTCCCCTGGCTGCAGTCAAGGTGTCCACTGGTCGGTTTCTTTCTGGAGCTAGGGGCTCGCATTCACATTCAGCTGGTTATTGGCAGAATCGCTGCCTTTCAGCCCTGGGGCTGAGGCCACTGTCCTCTGCCTGGCTCAGCAATGGTCCAGGGTCAGCTCTCAGAGGACACCCAGCTCCGAGCCAGTGGGCTTCTCCATGTGACCCCTCTTGGTTTCAGTTCCTCTTTCAGGAAGGGTGCAGTCCCATCCAGTGACTCACCGGTTAGGTTTGTGAGACCCGGACAATCTTCCTTTTGATGAGCTGAGCAGCAGCCTACTCATGAGAGTGACATTCCATGATATTCACAAGCTCAGGCTGCATACAGCAGAGGGGACTGCACAGGACGGGACCCAGGAGTGGGGAGCTTGGGGCCGTCCCAGGCCTTTGCCCACCACAGGGTCAGTGTGGAGTGTGCTGAGGTGCGGCTTTCCTCTTTATGTGGTGATCAGGTTACCATCTATGGACTTCTATACGCCCAAATTCTGGGACTGGGAGATTATTCTTTCATACTGCAGCTTTCAGGAGCTAGAACTCAACACCAGGCAGACTAATGAATATGCTGGACTCTATTCTTCCCCCGAAACATCTAACCTTAGTTTAAAAACATCAGAAAAATCCCAGGGGAGGGGACAGTCTACAAAACACTTGATCAATGCTCCTCAAAACTATTAAGGTCATGGAAGACAAGAAAAGTTAAAATATATATATATTATATACATATAGTTATAATCTGACATAGTATATATAACCAAATCTATGTCTTTTAGTAAAAATACATATATTTTTACTATATATATTTAGAAAATATATTTTATTTTTATTTATATAAATACATTTTATTTATATTTATATTAAATACTATATAGATTTAGTAATACATATTTAGCAAAAGCTATATATTTAATACGTATTCTATATTAGATATCTAATATATATATAACCTAATTTTTTTTTATTACTTTTCTTGTCTTCCATGACTCTAATTGTTTTGAGGAACATTGGTCAGGTGTTTTGTAGAGTGTGTATACACACACACGCACACATGCACACACACACACACACAGGAACACACACACGTGCACATGTGCGCGCGCGTGCACACACACACACACACACACTGCCACAGCCAAGAGGATGCTAGAGAGCCATGATTGCTAAATACAATGTGGAAGAGAGAGAGATTAGACTATAACTCAGAAAATCTGAATGACATGAATACTTTGTTAATAATAAATAACAACGTATTAATCGCTGTAGAAAACAACACTGTTCAGTGATTGTGAGAAATATGCTATACCAAACAAGGCACTCATAGTAGAAAAAGCTGAATGTGACATTCATGGAAACTCTCTGAAGAAAGTGTGTTAGGGAAGGGTGTGTCTGAGCTGTGTGTGAGCTTAGAGGCAGCAGGTGTGAGAGCCCTGAGAAAGGCTGGAAGCTGCCAAGAGGGCCGTGCAGGGTCTGGGGCTGAGAAAACACATCAATCACATTTTTAAAGGAAGGAATGGGTTAGATTTCTCCAGTTGTGTTTATTTTGCCTTAAATATGTACACCGAAGTTGATTCCACTTGCAGACCCTTGTTTCCCTGCTGCAGAGAGATGGTTTCAGGCTTCGGGAGGTCACAGAGTTCTGTTCTTTTGCATCCTATCAGCAGATAGCTTGCCTCCTTAAAGTATTCTAATAAGTAGAAGATGATGGAAACAGGGAAAGGGTCATATGTTTATCTGAGAGGCGTTGGTGACCCTGCTCAAAGTCTTAGTCTCATCAGGGCAGACCTGTGTTTCCTGGAACATCACTGAAAATTGCCAAAGCAACCTTTAACAAAATGCCTAAGTTTGTTTCTCTGGATACAGAATGCTGTAGGGTCTCCCTTACTCAATCAACATCATTTTATCTGCCGGTTATCACTGATTCCGAGTTGATGAGCACATTCTTGCAGTTTCATCTCTGCTTATCATGGTGTACTCTTGTTGAATTATTCGGAACTCAAAAGCAGTTTGAAAGGCAAGACACATTGATTTCCTCATTATGTCAGGAAATGGCAAGTTAAGCAAATTCCTAAACCTTTTCAAACTCCAAGGTCTGCTCAGAAGTGATAAGACAAGACACCACGTGGAAGCTGGTGAGTTTTTGTATCGAAACAGTCCTCGGCGGAAGTATTTTTGTCCTCTCTCCGTAACACAGTAGGAGGGGCTGGAGGAGGAGACGGTTCAAGGGCTAATTCGGTTATAAGGTTTCTCAGCATTTTCACAGAGTGAGAGGTGTGGGGAGAGGCCTCCTGCTTCATTGTTTTACACTTGTTTGCACCGCACAATTTTCTTCACCTCCTTAATAAAGATTACCGCAATACAACATTAATGATGCTCATTAACCACAGATGCGTGATGACAGAAACAAAAGCCACATCAGGATTTTTACTCCAGTATTAAATGTTTAAGGTGCTGAAAATGTGAAAACTAGCTATTGCTTAAAACCTGAAGAATGGGGGATTGCCAAAGAGGAAAAGATGGCAGTTTGACTCAAAATGTTTCCACGGGCCATTGTCAGACATTAAATCATGCCAGGGTACTTCACAGAACCGGAATGATAGAGGTTGGTAAGAAAAAAAATAAGAGGTATAATAACAACCTCTTGGAAAAGTATAAATTAAAAGAGCAGCCACTGGCTATCTGAAAGGTCAGAGGAATGAAAAGACAGTCTTGTGAGAATCCTTGGTTTCGGAGCGGTAAGTGGAATTCTCTACAGCACAGGAGGTGGAAGGATTTTTCATTCATCTTTGAAGGTTCTTTTGACATTTTCATTAACTGCCAAAACCAGAAATAATCTAATCTATACTGATTTGATTAATAAGTAGGAGAACACAGTACATTAAATGCTCATTTAGATGTTACAATTAAACAGTACACAAAACATTGATTTTGCTGCATTCTGGTGCTTTTTAAAAAAAAAAAATTCTGTAAGTTTGTAAATGAGCAGGGACCATGGTCACTCAGTTACGGCTCTCCTGAGTCAGAAAGCAGTGAAATCACTGACAAAGGAAGGCAGTGAGTTCCTAAAGCATTTTACAAAGTTTCAATTCAATTTAATTTAATAACAGTGAATTAATGATAGAGTCAATATGCCTCCCTAAATACAAGGGGTGGACTAGATGAAATCACAGTATTGTTTGTTCTGTTGTTTCAACCTAAGTCTGTGATTCTAGGTCCAGGACCATTCATTTCACCCTCATTTTCAAGGAGTGCACGAAAGATAAAGAACCTGAGGAACTGTACTCACTGTCATTGGTACTGAAATCCACATGGCAGCAGGAGAGACGGATCTGTGCAAGGTGCAGGGATGGGTAGCGATGGCAGCATTGTGCTTGTTTATGGGAGAAAAGGAAGGCAATGGAAAAGCAACCCAGTCAGTCTGACATGTATTCAAGGGTCTGGCTAAGGACTAGTTGAGAGCAAAAGGAAGAGAGATGGGCAGAGCACGTGACACTTGCAGAGTCTCTTTACACATCTTACCAGATTGTGACTCAACTGTTCTGCTAATCCCTTATCCACAGATGATGAAAAAGATGAACAGGGGGTTAAACATGCCAGCCAAGCTTGCATAGTCAGTAACCTTACAGCTAAGACTCAATCCCAGGTTGTCTGACTTTGAATTTAAAAACTCCCAGGCCTATTCTGGGGCAACCAGATCTACATGTGATTCTCGTGGGTTTTTGGTTTTAGGTCATCATAAAGAACCAGGTAAGAAAATGCACTCTGAGATTTGGAAAATCAAGACCTATTACAGTTTAATTATAATGGTCACAATTTAAATTTATTTTAAAACTCATATGTTCCAGTTTAGGGCTTTGTTTTCAGTCATTTATTTGCTTAATTTTTGTCTTAAAATTACCTGTATAAAGTCAATGGAACTCTTTATTCTGTGCCTTAAATGAGATGGAGTTCACGGAGAAAAGAAACGGTTGTTCTTAGCCAGCAGCTCCGCTGAATACTGTGGAAGTTGCGTGGATTCCGACACCAGCGCCCGCCGTGCTCTCCATGTGTTTTCAGGTGTATTTCTCCTCTTAGGATATATTAGCACAAAAGTCATAGGAAAGAAAATTTAAATTATTCTTCAGATTGAGCTGAGCCAAAAAGATGCATGACATGCTCTTGTGCATTCTTCCCTACTGTAAAGAAACTTGTAAAGGGCAATATTTAGTCAGATCGCCTATATATATTGCTACATTCTGTGATATTGTCCTTTTTTATAAGTTTATAGAAATCCTTGGAAGTGGAATATGTGATGTCCTTCACTGACTTCAGGCACATTTTTTGAGCAAACGCTATGGTAGCACCAGAAAGAACAGTGAGTGAGAGGTGGCCCCAGCGTTCAGGATATTGCTTCTGACCTCACTTCCTCAGCTAGAACATTTGGTGTGTCAGCAGAGCCCAGCAACGACAGAGGGAAAACTAGACACAGTTGCCTGGAATAAATAGGAAATAAGCAAACAAACAAACAAAACCTGCTGTTTCTTCTTTGTATAACAGTATAAGCCAATGAGGGATTGTAAACTCAGGGAACCACCCCCAGTGCACACACGCTCAACCACACACGGGCTTAAACACACACACACTCAAACGCACAGGAAAAAGGAAGGCAATGGAAACACACGTGCTCACACAGGCTTAAACACACGCCTGTTCAAACAGACACACACTCAAACACACAAGCTCAAACACATGCCTACTGAAACATACACACACTTAAACGCACACACCTGCTCAAACGCACAAAAAACACACAGGCTCACACACACACACACACACACACGCACACACACACTAAAACACACAGGCTGAAACACACACATGCTCAATCATACACACCCTCAAACACACTGGAGCTACAATATTTGAGCAAGCATTTTAGGCCCCAGACCATGATTTAAGTATAAATCCAGTGCCTTATTTTCTGAATTATGCTCATTTCAAGGAAATATATCTTTACTTATTTTAAATACAAAAAAAAAAACCACTCTTCTCTGGAAATAAAAGACACACAATCAAAGTACAATGGCCCCACTCTTCACCTAATGCTATGAAGGAGTCCTCCTCATCAGAACGAATTCTAAGAAGTCCCTGAACGTGAAGCTGACTTCTCCAACAGAGACCAGTGCCCTTCCTCACCATCCTTCCTCATGATGGTGCTCCTGGTGACATTTCACAGTCACGGAAGTTCTGCTTTAAATTCAGTTTCTAAAGAAGCGTTAATGTTATTGTATCTAATCTTATCTTTTTTCTTCTTTATATGACATGGGTTTTTTAATGATCTCTCCTGGCGTATAATGAGATAAATTCACCAAAGCCTGGTTCATGTCCCACAGTGCATTTGTCACTTGGGGAGCTGAGCCTTCTGTTAAGCAAGGAGCTCTCAAGCCAGTTTTTTCCACGTTGTTGTGTTACATCCTGAGAAAGGCTTACATATGAGTGGTCCTTAATTCGTGGTGAAATGATCAGAAAAAGAGGTGCCCATCACAGAGTGCCTTCTATGTGGCATGACATGGTATTTCACCACCTTGAGTTGGCCAGTGTTTCTGATAAACAAAAAATAGTGTATGTATTTTGCTAATAAGGAATCTAAGAATCAGATGAGAAAGCACATGTCCTGTTTGGACACTCTCCAAGTTGTGCAGAGGTTTTGGTGAGGGCCGAATGCTTCCTGGGCCCTTTCTGTTTAACTGCACAGTGTGTATTGAAAGGCCTTGCCTCAGAATGGCAGTTTTCAAATATTTTCAGTAATCGAAACTTTTGCTTTGTATTAATGTAAACAAGAATGAAATTTTTTAAATTGGGTATATATTTTGGAAAAGATCCTTACTCAGAGACCCTGCTTCAATAACTTTAGAGAAACTTCAGTTTTGATTGCCGAAAAGAAAAAGAAAGCAAGAAAAGCTTAAGGATCCTGTCAGATCAAGACGTTGGCATGATGTGTGTGTAAACACATATGTATAGGATTTGCCTAACTGCCAACAAAATCATCGAAGTAACAATGGAATGACGGGTTTCAAAATTGCATGATGTCTAAAATGCCTTCCTATTTTTTTTTTTTTTTTTTTTTTTTTCAACTACAAAAGATCTCAATCATGGCAAACTGCTTGCTAGACCTGATTTGCTGTCCTTGTCACCTATAAGCGAGACACATAAAACGCTGTAAAAAGCATTAGGAAAAAATCTCTGAATAAACACTTGATAAATGCTGTCCAAAGGCTTGTATATCAGTGGTTATAGGAAAGTGATTAGGATCACTTCACTAAAATGTTTTTATACAGTTGGGAAAACAAATAGAAACCAAATCGACCTGGGCAAATGTTTCTAGATGCATGTCACAAAATATTCATTTGCCCAAAATATTTATATGGATGATCTGAGAAATAAATGTTACTTATTTTTTTATGACTGTGTCAGGGTAATAAAAGATTAGGTTACTAAGTTAAAAAAAAAGTTTCTTTTCCTAGTGAAAATATCAGAGCTTATAAGAATAAAGCAATACTTTATTTTAGGCAAAATACATATTTCAGGTGAGAATAACATAATAGGTATCATACAAAGGATGGGAAAACACATTTTGGTAGTGTGCATTAAACAATTCCTTAGAGGAATGGTGGTTCAGACGTTTACCGCTAAGGGATATATAAAATAATCTGTAGCTCCACTGCAAAGACAGAAAAGGGCTCCTTACTCACTCTCAGTGTGAGGATTGCAAAACGCAGGGCAGGACTCCCTGGGGACAGGCTGGCAGACCCTCTGAACAGCACACAGGTGGTATGTGACATCAGGGTTCCGTCCTCAAGCACCGCCTGTCTGGGGAGCACATCCCTGGCACATCTCTAAGGAAAGGGTGCCACTGAGGCTGCAGTGTTCTGTCTGCAAAAGATTTGAGCAAAATAATTATGCAGATGGTTTGTTGGTACAGTCTATGTCTGTGTGCTCCCCGTGTGGTTCAAAGTAAATCTTTCACTTTGGTGTTAAAGACTCCCAGATATAGTGTGCACCTAAAGTAAAATAAATAAATTAAAAAAAAAAAAGACTCTATGTGCCAAGATAGATCAGAATCTCCGTACATTTAACCCAGCGGGTCATTAAGCTGGAGATCTTGATTTGTCAGCAGTCATTCCTGTATTCAAGGCCTCTGGGGCACCTGCTTATCAGTTTGCTATTGATCTGAATGGAAAGCGATTTAAGCAAAGAATTGTCTTCACCTCTGAAATAGGGCAAAGCTGACAAGAAATAGAAATGCAAGCACATTTAGGAACGTGGACTCCAGTTCTCCTATTTCCCTTCCAACTCCTGTTAGGACATTAGCATCCTGTGAAGAGCAAGAAATAGAAGCTAGATTAGTTGAATTATTTCCTTTTTTTTTTTTTTGCAGAAAAGGAGCTTGAAAAAAAAATGTGCTTAAGTTACCCTGATGAATTTTTATTATCATTACCCCTTTCTGTCTTCACTGATAATCATTCTCTTCTGAATAGTTACACTGAAAATTTTGCAATAAAATTCGAATTAGTTATATAATTAGAGTCAATTATGTTAAAGGGGGAAGAGGGACTTCAATTTGCAGCTTTTAATTCTAGAGTTCTCCAAATAGTAATTGACACGGAATACAAACAATTCCAATCACGGAAATTAGAATGAGTACCCTCACCTGTCCCTGACGTGAGCGGAAATTGGCAGGAGCAGCACATGCGGAATAGTAACAGAATGTCCTCGATTGTAAATTGATGAAGTCCGCAGAAGACTGAAACCCTGCACCCAGCCCCACTTTTCCTGTAACATATTCCAGGCCGCTTCAAGGCACAGGAGTAAACTATGACACCAGAATGCCGCCTTCACAATGCTTTTCCGTAATATCCTCACTGTGCACATTTTTAGTGGGCTCACTGTGCATAGAACCCACTCCAGCTCTCTGTCCGTTTGTCCCTCTATGTAGTTTGGATTGGCCTTACTAGTGGTTCCATGTTGCCATTTAAATATTTGCTCTTACTTAATTTCTCAGAAATTAATCTAATTCCCTCCACTTGCTATCGGCTGTTAAGGTGTTCTCACCTTAGCCTTGCCTGGATATTTAGCACTATGCTTTGAAAACTAATAGGTCTAACATAATTTTTATTTTATTATTAGAGATGTTGTAAGTTGTGGATGTTTTGTCCTGAATTTCATATTATTTCTAAATTTCTTTTCTGGCTTTTCACCTCTTGACCTGAGTACAGCCTCCCTGAGAAAAGATTCAGGTTCCACAGTGGAACCAGTGGCCTGCTGGTGCAGATACTGCAGCTGGTTGACCTGCTTCATCAATGGCATTCCTTACACGACCTCAAAGACCAGTGCTAGGAAAATTTTCATTACCTTGACTTAGCCCATGAGTTAAGGATGCAATGAGTTTAAGGTGGTTTAAAAAAAAAAAATAGGCTGACAAAACCAGTTCAATCAGTGAAACAGGTAAGGCTCATTTTTATTCCATAATTTAGTTTCTCTCCTTCTTTTTTAAAAAGAAAACTAGGTCAGCAAAATTGTGGAAGTATTGTGTAATAATCACTACAAATCACTTAGAGTTCTGGTTCAAGGGGTTTTAACCTGGTAATAAATTATCCTTCTGAGATGAGACTCAGAGTTAATTATGTCCATTACTCTAATTTTATTTCATATCTAGAGGGGAACTAAGGAGAAGAGATCACAAATAACTCACTACCAAAAGCAGCTACATTTTCCCTTTATTATACTAAAGAATATTGTAAATGGACCACACCATCCCCGACAGTGGGCCTTTCATTTTATGCTGAACAAAGAACCAAAAAAATTGCCTGACAGGAGAGCTGAGAAGTAATTCTTCTATTTGTGTCATGCGTTAAAACTGCACCAAGTCATCCTGGCTCCTCCCAGGCCATTAAGAAAGGATCTGTCCTTCCCAACCAGGCATTTTATACTGAACCTGGGGTGGGAAGCTCCCTGCCTAAGGACTTGGGCTGTAATACAGGTAAAACTGAATTAACCAGAAACCACTTAATCAGCCCAAATTCTCCCTGGAGTTGTAGGTAGGTCACCAATCACAATCAAGTAAGCCTGATCAGAAATTTAGGAAAAAAGTACCAATATCCTTAACTGAAAAATCAACCTAAATAGCTGTACTGTCTCTATATAATGAAATGGAGTTTCTGAACAATTACTCCGTGAACCTCAAGCATTTCAGTCATTAAAAAGGTATGATTATTAGTCTGTACTTACGATGGAAATGTTAACGACTATTTTAGAATAACAAAAAATGCAACAACTAAACAAAAACCCAGTAAGAATGTTCTTAGTCACCCATGAGTTTCCGGCCATACATCATGAGAAACAGGCAACAATTTTATGTTAAAATAAAATCATTTTAATACCTTAGTCAATATTGTCAGATCAATTTGGTGGTATTATTAAAACAATTACAATCACAAAATTGAAGTTCCTTGGGTACTCTATAACAGCAATCAAATATGATGACTTCTCTTTTAATCACCATTCAATAGCCTTTCAAGTGTATTGATTGGAAACATTTTATCAATGCTTTAGCATCACTGGTAATAACGATC